GGAAGCAGCCTCCACAGAGAAAAAAAAAGGCTTCCTCACTGATTCCCTCTGGCTAAAAACAAACTCTTGCTTACACATTCCTTTGCCCAGGCAAGCTTCCCTGCTGCCATATCCTGGGGTGATAAAGACTGCCGGGAGATGCTCACATTTCCCTGAGCAGCTCCGGCAGGAAAAATTCCCTCCTTGGCAGCTCCTGTTGCAGAGCACACTGCGGAGCCGGGAAGGTGAGAGCCGGCCCTGCCACCCAGCGGGGAGAAGGGACAGGCGGGCCACCAGCCTTCCACAGAGCCGCTCTCCAGCTCAGCAGAGCCGGTACCCGACCCCAGGGCTCCGAGGGCCTCCACCTGCCCCCGGGGTCTGCACCCACAAGTGGGTAACGGAGGGCTCAGAGTGCCCAGGCATCCCCTCCTGTCAAGTACGTGAGCACAGGCAGGTATTTTCCTGTCCAGTTGCTGCAAAATGCACTCTCAAATGTGTCAAGGTGCTAAGTAAAGAAGCAGCTTCCCCCCCTGCCTTTTTTTTTTTTTTTGAAAGACTGACAAGTTAGTAATGAAAGGTTTCTCTGTCTTTAGCCCCGCGTTAAGGAAGCAGCCTGAGACTCCAAAATTAGAAGGAAAACTGCCAAATACAAGTCACTCCATTCCTTTAACAAAGACTAAGAATTAAAACAACCAACCAACCAACAAAAAGCCATTTCCCCTACAAATAAACTCCGTACCCAGGATCCCAACCCCTTGGGATAGGTCAGGGGGACATGTGGTCTCCACGTTTGAACAGTCTAAAATGCATGCCTCTAATTAAAGTGAATTGATGAGCTCCCATTGCTTTCAGTGAAGACAGAGGAAAAAATGGAACTCTTCCAAAGACACCTGCCTCTCTCTATTGAATGGACAAGAAACCAAAATGACTGCCTTAAACTCCACACCTGTTAAATGGCTGAAATTAGGCAAAACAAACGCCAAGCTTAAAGATTTTGCTATTGAAGTCAGGCTAGCATCAAGAGGCACAGACCAGGCTGACCGAACCAGCATCCGAGTTTCACCTTAGACAAAAATATCCCCCATGAGCAAAAATCCATCCAGGTCAATAGGAACGGGCATCTGAACTTACGCTTCCTCTACCACCACCAAAAGCAGGCGCAGTTCAGCCCAAGAAAGACTAAGTTAAAACAACCAACCAACCAACAAAAAGCCATTTCCCCTACAAATAAACTCCGTACCCAGGATCCCAACCCCTTGGGATAGGTCAGGGGGACATGTGGTCTCCACGTTTGAACAGTCTAAAATGCATGCCTCTAATTAAAGTGAATTGATGAGCTCCCATTGCTTTCAGTGAAGACAGAGGAAAAAATGGAACTCTTCCAAAGACACCTGCCTCTCTCTATTGAATGGACAAGAAACCAAAATGACTGCCTTAAACTCCACACCTGTTAAATGGCTGAAATTAGGCAAAACAAACGCCAAGCTTAAACATTTTGCTATTGAAGTCAGGCTAGCATCAAGAGGCACAGACCAGGCTGACCGAACCAGCATCCGAGTTTCACCTTAGACAAAAATATCCCCCATGAGCAAAAATCCATCCAGGTCAATAGGAACGGGCATCTGAACTTACGCTTCCTCTACCACCACCAAAAGCAGGCGCAGTTCAGCCCAAGTGCCAGTGCTTTAAGCGTACGCCGGGACTTTTCTATGCAGATGAGAATCTTTTTACTAAAGGAACTTCGCTGCTCAGCATCCTCCGGCATCGCTGCCCTCCCCCAGCCAGCTCAGTCAGTAGCGCTCATCGTTGCCTGGTGTTAAAAGCACAATTTAGCACCTTGTCTATAGTCACGGGAGAAGGGACCGCAGCGTGTTCATCCGCAGAGTCTGTAACATAAAGACACTTCTGGCAGCGTTTGCACAGGAGGATGGGGACACCGAGCACTGCCCGAATCAGGACCAGCACAGCACCAGAGGCTGGAGGTGAAGCCAGGGTGCTCACACACACAGGGGCAGCCCAGGACAGCGGGATTAGTAGGGCAAGGTCTGCTGCAAGCTGTGCTGAGAGTCACTGCGGGGGAAAGCTACTCCGCGCGCAGCAGGGCCAGTGCTGTTAGCTCCCTACAGAGCTCACCCAGAACGAACCATTCAACGCCAGCCGTTAAACGACCACTGGAAATTGCTCAGTCCGCATATCACAGCCATTGGGAGCAACATCCGCTCCGAAATATGTAAACAAAAACATACAGAGGGAATTCAGTAAGACATGGTAAAGGAATTCCTATTGTATCTGCAAAGGAGCAACAATTTCAGATAAGCTGGACCCTGTTGGGGGTGTTGCCAAAGTGAGCCGAGTTCACGTGTGCCCAGATTTTGCCCAGCTGAAGGCTGCATCAGAAGTTTGGCTGCAGCCAAGACACACTGTACAGAAAGTTGCGGCCGATCTCAGCAGCGAAGAGGTGCTGGTTGTGCATCACCCCACTCCAGACCACGCTGATGATGAAAACAAGCCTTGCCGCACCTAACTCCATACTCGGGTTGTGACCCAGACTCCAGGCTGACTCTGGGGGGGACTATCTTATAGAGAATGGTGCAAGAGGGGAAGGTTCTGGGGGGTTCATCCTCACAAAAAAACCCAGCGACTCCAAAAACACACTTAATGAACCACCATTATTATTCTACTCAAGAAACACAGCCATGTGTCTAAGGCAGCTGCAGCTTGCCTTTTCTACAGCACGTTGCCGGAGCTCTCCAGTAGATGCTAAAATTACACACAGGTTGTTACTGGGATTCACCAAAACAAGTCTGTGGCAAGGACCACAGCCTTGGCAGGAGCCAGAGTGACAACATCTGACACAAGAGCAAACAGAAATGAAGGCATCTGACTCCCCTAATACATGCTCCTGTTTTGCAAACGAATGGCTGAGCCACTGCTGCCAGAGCATGGGACCTTTTGCTTCTTGGATATTTTCAAGCCAGCAGTGGTATTACAATGAGTTGTTAAGTCTCAGCCCAGGCTTTAGCGAGCAGGTAAAAATACCTGGTGCCGTCCTATAGCCCGAAGAGCAGCCTCAGTAGGTGAGCAGGAGCCTTAACAGGGCTCTAGAGGGAAAGCTGCAGCAATACTGATGGGCTGCACCGGTTCTACCACGGACCTGTCTCCAGTCTCTCCTCTGGCTCCACCAGCACTAAAAGCAGTCAGATGAATGCTCTGACCACTCCATGCCCAGCCGGGGCTCCCGAGCCACAGTTAATCCTTAGATTTTTCCAACTTTTAACTGCAAACACCGTTCAGATGATAAATGGTCTTTTAGACCGCTCTGGGGGAATCGCTGCCTGACAAAATTATTTCAGTTCTATTTCCCATTGCAACATTTCACCAACATCGACAAGGTGTCAATAGTATCTATAGGAGAGATGCGATCTGTGATCTCGAAGAAAAGACATTCACGGTAGGTAGCAATTAATTAATTACCGGTGGCTTTAACAGACCCTTTGGCACTAACGAGCCTATGCTCTGATCCGTGCTCCCAATTCACTGCTGTTTGGAAAGAGATCCATCGATAGGGACAGTTTCCATGTATGAGGCAGTTCCCAGGGAGGGAGGGCAACAGGGGAGAAAACAAGAGGTGATCTCACTTCAGGATGTCAGTGCCTTGAGAAACAGGACAATGGTGGGCACCGAGACTCTGTTGGGAAGCAGCCCACTGCGCCAACGTGGACGGGGCACTCTGGATAGGGGGACAAAGCATCTCGGGAGAGGAAGGAACGCTGAGAATCAGAGAGGAAAGGCAGGAATGAAAATATGCACGTACAAGACCGTAAAAAATAAAAATCCATCTCAATCTCCTGTTTCTGCTAGTGACTCCCATTCTGCTGCGCGTGCAGCCGGTGTCAACATAATCTAGCACAAACTGTGACAGCAGAATGGGATCGGATGCTTTCAAGCAAAGCTGTTTGATTGCTTGTCCCTCCCCCAGAAGGCAGGAGGGGAAACGGGAGGTGGGTCTTGATCCTCTCCTCTCAGGCCGTCTCCCTGCAGATCAGTCTGACGGCCCCGAAAGCACAAAACCTGCAGACCTCAACTCTACAGCGCAGCCAACAGTCCCCCTCTCCCTGTAACTGCAGAGAGAGGACAAAGCTGATCTGGCTGCAGTTTTTCTAGCTGTTGGGGAGCTCAGCCAACAAGCAGTTTCTATTCTAGCAGGTACAGGCGCTAGGTATTCTTTTCCTCTTCAAACCTATGTCTAAATGCCAAGTAACACTGGCCTGCCAGGTTCTGGAAAGCTGCTAACGCAGCCCCTCGAGGTCCCAAAGCCCGGGATCCCTGCTCTAGCAAAAGAGCTTCCTGCTATTTGCACAGAACTCTGTCTTATATAAACTTAGCAAACAAGACTGCCCACCCACAATTCCCCCATATAACAGGCTCACCTGTCACCATTGGCAGATATGGCATCAAACTTGGCTTTCTTCTTTGGGATTTCGTTCTGAATAGAAGAGGTGGATAAGGTTTTCTGGCTAGAAAAATGAGGAAATTGTATGTCAGAACCTGAATGACTTGCAGTCTAAGACAGAGAAGCAGATAAATATTCCCACCCACTTTGAACCTATTAAAACAGTATTTCCTAGCGCAAGAAAGAACGATAAAAAATTAATTCCTTGAAGAGTAGCTGGAGACTAAAAATAAACAGAAAACAACGCATCAGTCAGATCAGTACGTAGGTGAAGAACTCATGCTTAAAATCTACATTTCAATCATTAAATTTTACAAATGCAATTTAGCTTTAATTGTGTACAAGTTCAGTAAGCTGAATCACCAAGAAGCACTGTCGGACTACAAGTCTACTCCAGCACAGTGGGGTTTGCAATCTAGCAAAGCCTGACTTAGCCAGATTCTCCTGAGCAACAGACGGCTGCCAAAACCCATCACCAAGGTACCGAGCCCCCAGGCGCTTCTCCCAGTTACTTTAGGAAGCGTACCTAAGGAGCGTGGTGCAGCCAGGCACCCTGTTTGCTCACCCCAGAGGCAAGCTCAGCCCGCACAACGGAAAAGCTCGTGCAGGTTACCTGTTATAGTGGCTGCCACCGCTGAGCCTACTGTACTGTTCCTTCTCTTGCAGGCTTGCCCGGGAAGAGCTGCTCAGGTGTTTGCACTGCTCTTTGGTCTTCTGTAGGACCCGTTTATAGGATAGCGTGCATAACCAGCACAGCAGCTTTCCATCCACCTGGAAGGTGAGAGAGAAAGAGAGGGGGAGAAGTTTTGGTCTTGCTTCCTGCCCACAAACCAAACACAGAGAAGACAAGAAGCACCTTCAGGCTTAAGATCACATATGTGCAAGCAGCGACTCAAAAAGGATCCCTCGCGTGCCTGGAAGCGGTAAGAAGTGCATCTGGCATGGCTGGTGCAATGCAGACAGAACTCATCAATAGCAGCTAATCTATCGTAACTGCGGTCTCTGCCGAGCTTTGCTTACAGACCATCTTATAGCACCCATTCACCAAGACAGGCTAACTCTAGCGGGATTTCTGCCGAGGCCCTGCCGAGGAATGGTACGTGACAGGGTAGTCACTGGAGACCAAAACAGCAAGGGTCTCTGCTCAAGGAGGATCAGCAGGAGGACAGGGATCAGTGCAGCATCCAAAATGAACAATAGATGTTCACAGCCTGCAGGAAGCAGGCCTTAGAAATACACACCTCCTAAGGAGCACTTATGTTGTTTAGGCAAAGAGGGCGCAGGAGCCATGGAATGGGTTTCCTGGTGGAGGTATGACACTTTCAGCTCCTCAGGCTATGGCACAAATATCGTTCCCCATCCCTCTCCCCGAGCAGGTACCTCACATTTCACTGAGGCCCCTCCTCCTTTGCCAGCCCACCTAACCCTTAGGCCAAATTCAAGAGATCTTTCTCAGTAGATCTGACAGAGGAGTAGAGGGGCTCAAAGATTAAACAGCTCCAAAACACAGCTCCCACAGCAAAGCTGAACTCCAGAAAAATACTTCACAACCCCCTTTTGAAACGCCCGAGAACACGTGAAGGAGATGGACAGACAATCACTGTGATCAGCCTTTTTACCTTTTCGGACTCCTTTTACAGAGATACTGACCTTCTTTCTATCGTCCTTCCGGTCAAACGCACACTGCTGCTTGCACTGCTCACAGGAGTGCGGAGGTCCGTACTTCTTTTCAGAGTTTGTGCAACGCTGGCACTTGTTTCCAATAAACGCTGCTATTATGTTGCAGTACTGGCAGGGTTTTGGCTTTAAGAAACAAAAACAACTGATACAGCAGTGCCTTCTAATTACATTAATACATTGCTCTTTCCCCTTCTCCCCATCACTTCAGAACTTTTATTTCCCTGTTCCAAGCTAACTATAATGCTGATCCAGGAGACATAAACACATTTGGACCCCTGGTCTCTAGCTAAGTGTATTTAGCCATGGCACCCAGACCATTTATCAGGCACTATGAAATGTTTAGAAAATGTATAACACCAAAATAGAAACAATCAAAATCTCTTTTTCAGATTTCAGACAAGCAGGAAAAAAAGATGTATCACTGCTTCCTGCAGCAATCTCAGTTTGTGTAAGCACGCTCTTGTTTCTATTGGATATCGAATAGTTCATTTCCTGGCCTAAAATGATGCAGAGCTGCTCTTTTCTGTACTAAAAGAAGAGAAAAGGTAAAAGCTTCACGCTTGAGGGACGCGCGTATTATTGATCAGTCATGCTATTACAACAGAGCCAGCCCATAAACTGCTCTGGGATTCAGCAGGATAAAGACAAGAAAGACGAAAGGAGAAGAGGCTGGTGAGAACGAGCCCCGCTCACTTACTGTGCCATAGAGCTTCACATTCTGAGCGCACTTCTTGCATATTGTGTTGGTTTTGCTGTTAAAAAGAAGGACAGATCATTCTATTAACACTTCCCCAAAGAAAATTAAACCTCTGTGGTTAGGATCCCAGTCCCCCCTAGGCTCCGTCTCCAGTGGCGAGGCTGTATTTATCTTCACTAGGGACTCAGATATCAAAGTGCATTTCCTATCCCCATCTGGTTGAGGGTAATTTGCCAAAAAGTGGTATTACTAGGAGGTATCTTTTAATTAAGGCATCCCCAGATGACACCAGTTTTTTGTCCTTACAGATACAGGAGTCTGATCACCGGCTAACTGGCAGCAGGCGTGATTCAGCACTGGTGACAGCCTCAGTTCTGGAGGAGGTCTGCTCTGGTTGACAAGGTTAAGGGAGGTCAGGACAGAGGTGTATTTGTCCAACAAACACAGGAAAGAACACCCCACACAATGCCCGCACGCAGCTACTGGGTTTACCAATCCTTCCTCTGTAAGCTACGTAACTTGCAAAAAGGCAAAAGCACAGCTAAAGGAAACACATTAGGAAATAATTTTTGGATACCGGAAATCAGGTAAGAGGAAAACTCGCGGGAAGATGCACCCAGATCCTTCACTGGAAGATGCATCTGAGCACTGACCAAAAATAAAAGCCAAGCAAAAGGTGTAAATCTAAGGACACCGCAGAGGCACACGGACTTGCCCGGCAGACCTTTGAAGAAGGCCAAAGGTCCCCCAAGTCTTCCACAGCAACAATCTACAGGTTAAGGCTCAGTCATCAAAGGTGTGGAAACATTACAGTTCCCCGGGTGTGTCTGTTCTAAAGAAAACATAGGTCTCCCCAGCTCAGCGGGCATTTACCTTTCCTGCTGGAATTCAGTCCTGCAGTAAGTGCATTTAACAATGGGATGCGCAATCCGGCACTCCTGCAACAACAGAAGCGTTCGGTGAGATGCAGTGCTTCTCCCGCACACCGTTTCCCGAAATCCCAGACCACCTGCTGACCTCCGCTCCCACCACACGCACACACATCCGTCAAACGCAAAACATTTCCTCCCTGTACACTCATGCTGCTCTTACAAGGGCTGAGAGCAGAGGAAGGGTGACAGGAATGGCATGTGTCACAGGTGAGCCAGAAGTAAACTGAGATTCGTAACAAGGGCTTATTTGTGCCCAACGCCCACAGACAAGGGTCACGGTGGTTGGCCTCACCTCCCAGGGCAGGAACAGAGAGTCCTGCCAGTTATTCACACCTCTGCCCTCCACGAGCTTCCTGTGCCTGGAATGCCTCTGGCCCCGCTCTCCTCTCACCCCATGCCTCGGCGGTTCCCCTGTGCTCACGTCCTTTGCCCCATCTGCCTCAGCAATCCCAGGCTACTCCATTTCTCGCCGTCCGTTCCCTGTCTCATCCCTGATCTCATTCTTCCCCACCCAAACTGCCCCACCCACCCAGATTGTCTCCCACGACCCACCTCCCTCCTTCAAGATAAGGCCTCCCCCAAACGTCCCCAGACCCTCCCAAACACCCCGGCATCCCCCAAATGCCCCAGGCCTCTCCCCTTGCTAACAGCCTCCCTCACAAACAGCCCTTCAGTTGTCCCCAGGCCTTCCCTCGTGAACAGCGCCCACCT